GCTACCCTTTTCCTAGCTGCAATTCCAACATTCCTCATTCGTTCCTGGAGAAAATGTTGATAGTCTTGTTGGAGTAATATACCATAAATTGATCAATTTAAAATGGGTTTCTATCAACGCAAGTGAATGAACATATTTATTAATTTTATAGGAAGAAGATACCCATTCCTTGTAATCTATTTATATCCTTAAATCTGTATTCCATTTTCTCATGGCTGTAGGTGTTTCTGTGATATTATTTTCTTCTGTCAGTTTAACACATCTAGAGAAAAGCTGTTTTACTCTGTTCTCCTGTAATATTGTTTTCATTATTTTATAAAGATTACCTTTTGATACAAACTTAACTCTGTCCATAAAATGTTTAACCCTAGTATAAGTAAAAATTAAATCTGCTGGATCCTTTAATTGACTGGCTTCCATTTCTATATTAAAACATGCTTCTGTTTTATTTTGCTCTAACTGGCATGTCATTACATGCATAATTATGCAAGCCTCATAATATTTTGTTATATTTGGGTATCCTAGTCCCCCATTTTTACTTCCTCTAGATATCCATGAGTTTTTAATCCTGTTTTTTTTTCCTTTTCAAACAAAATTAGAGAAGGCTGTTCTTACCATTGTTAACCAAGACATAGAAATAGTTAAAGGGAGCATCCTAAAACAAATATATCCATTTTGGAAGAACATATGATTTCAAGATATTTATTCTTCCTCCCCAGGATATGTCTAGTTTCCTCCATTCTTTTAGGTTTTTGTTAGTGTCTTTTAAGAGAACTATAAAGTTTATTTCCATAATACTATTTATATTCTTACGGATTTTAATTCCCAAATATTTAAATGTTTTTGCATACAAAAAAAAAACATAATTATCTTGATAAGTAGCTATGTCCTTTTTAGATATATTAATGTATAATATGTTTGATTTTGTTTTATTTAGTTTATAGTTTGAAACTGTACTATATAATTCTATTTCTGACATAACATTTAGTAGAGAAGTTGAGGGATTTGTTAGATACAAAATAGTGTCACCAGCATAGAGTAACAGCTTTAGTAATTTTTTTCAATAGCCTCTTATCTCTGTGCTCTGTCTAATTATATTGGCCAGTACTTCTATAGTTAGTATATAGAGGATGGGAGATAATGGACATTCCTGTCTGGTGCCGTTTTTCAGATTGAACCTGTTTGAACATATGTTAGGTCCAATTGTTCTAGCCACATATAGCCATATATAATTCCAAAATTGCATTTAAAAGCCAACCTGATACTTAAAATGCCTCTAGAGTGTTTTCCATGAAGGCCCAGCTGACCCTGTCGAATGCCTTTTCGACATCTAGTGACAGGATCAGCATAGGACTTAAATTTTGTTGAGATATATCTATTACATCAATCAATCTTCTGATATTATTTGCCATTCTTTCAGTTACAAAGCCTATTTGATCTAAATGGATTAAATGTTTCAAAACTTCTTTTAATCTATGGGCAATAATAGAGGAGAATAACTTGATGTCTACATTAATTAGGGATATTGGGCGATAGCTTTTTACATTAGTTGGATCATTCCCAGGTTTAAGTATTGGTAAGATGTTTGCTTTCAACATTTCACTTGGGAACCTTCCTTTAGAGACAGTATTGTGAAAGTAGCCCCTTCCTCTGATATTTCTTTATTTAATACAATTAAATTTTTAATACAATTTAATAAAATTAAATGTGAGTTTGATAATTTAGATAGATTAGCTGATTTAATATATTCTTTAATCATATCTGACGGAGTTATATTTATAAGATTATACAGTTTTGCACAATATTCGTTAAAAGCCTTACCTATTTCCTCAGGTGATAAACAGATTTTATCGTTTGTAATGATTCTATCAACTAAATTATTTGTATTTCTTTTCTTAAGCATATTGGTTAATATCTTGTCGGCTCTATTATATTTATGATAATATTTAACTTTCAATTTTAACCTCTTCAGGACGGAGTCAATAGTACACGTTCTGATCAAAACAAAACGTAAACAAAAACTGGAATTTGCGCTATATGTCAACCGTAATTCACCGCTGTCACATTAAGTGCACCCACACTTATTATATATCATTTTGTTCAGGAGAAACAGGGCTTTAATTTATCATTAAACTATTCATATATGGAACATAATTTATTATGAATAAAATTTAAAAAAATGTGAGAAAATAAGATTTTGTATTTCAGTGTTTGTGACTAAGTGGCTACTAAGAAATACTGGACATACCCCACTTGCAATACTTTGGGTTGTCTACTTTTGCAAATGGTGTGCCATCATGGGGATAATTCTCATTCCTGGGCTACCATATGCTCTCAAAGGCAACATAACCAATCTGGCAAATTTTAATGTCAAAAAAATGAAATGCAAGCCTTATATGTGACTCTCTAACTTTCCAAAACACCATAAAACCTGTACACGGGGGTACTGTTATTCTTGGGAGACTTCACTAAACACAAATATTAGTATTTTAAAACAGTAAAACATATTACAATAATATAGTCCATAAAAGTGCAGTTTGTTTGTAAAAAAATGCAAAAAAATTTCAATTTTACTTAAAATATCATCGTTGTAATACAATTTATCATTTTGAAACACTAATATTTGAGTTTGGCGTGGTCTCTCGAGTAAAACAGTACCCCCTATATACAGGTTTTATGGTGTCTTGGAGTTACAGGGTCAAATATAGTGCTTGCAAATTAAATTATCTGCACTTTCTCCCTGTGTTGTCAGGCATGTCAATCAAATTTTAATTAATCAAATCAAATAATTATGTTAAAAGATTACTTAAATATACACGTAGAATTTTAATATATATGCATTTATAGGTATTTAAATTATACGTGTATACTAATGTAATCTTTTATGAAAATATATTTATTTATCTACATATATATATATATATATATATATATATATATTTGCGGTTATTTGTATTTTATATATAGAAAAGTCTATTGTCTATTGTGACTGAAACGTCGACATTTTTGTATTCTGCACAATAAAGCAGTATTTATTTTGATATAAAACGAAGACTCCAGAGTGCTATCTACTTGGATGCTATATATATATATATATAATGTCATTCTAAGTGTATTTTGTTACCAGTGTGTGTGTGTATATATGTATATATATATATATATATATATATATATATATATATATATAACAAAATAGTTAGAATGAAATTATATATGAATATATAATTTATATTAAATTCTGTTTCAATATTTTATTTATTATTGTAATTATACGTGTGTATATATAATATATGTGTATATATCTATTATATATATATTATATATAAACATATATGTAACCTCATTCTAAGTGTATTTTAATACTAATATATGTACATATACATACATATATATATATATATATATATATATATATATATATATATATATATATATATATAAAAATACATTTATTTTATTTTAAAACATGTTTAATATATTTTTTTTTTATTTACCCACCAGCAGGGAGACTGTCTGACATTTCACATAGTCCCCATGCTGGCAGATCCACAGCCAGCTATAGGGGGCCTCGTTTGCCGGGGGAGGGCTGCCTGGGCTGTCAGGCAGCCCTCCAGAAGAGGATCGCGGTGGAGGTAAGTCCACCGGACCTCCAGGGGCCGCAAGCCGTTACGGCGTTCTATGCCGCCGCAATGGCTTTAAAACCCTTTTAATGCGGGACGGCATAGAACGCCGTAACGGCGTTAAGGGGTTAACACTATTTTCTTAATTCTGTCAAAGGTCTTATTTTGAATCTCTATTTGAATGTTCACTAATGTTCACTATTTTAAGCTGATTCTCTCTAGACATAGTGGCGTGATTTTCTTTAGTTAAGTTGTATATTGATATATGGAGGCCCGTTAAACCTTCAAGAGATTAATTGTTTTAAACAAACTGAAATGGTGGTTTCCTGTTAGTTTGGTAAGATTGTAGCAAACATCAGGAAGAAGAAAAAGGACGAGCAGATAGGAGGAGGGAGAGAAATACAGTGGAAAAAAGAAAACATACAAGTCACATAGTTTGATAATTGTGAAAAAAGTAAATCTGAGCGGTAATAGACCGAAACTGTGAGAGAAAAATGGGAAGGCGAACTAAACAAGCTATTCAAGATTGTTACCTTCTGTTTGGCTCTCATCATTTGATCTCAACAGAAAGATCTATCAAATAGTTATAAATTATTATCTACAGAGAAGATACCCGCAAAAGAGACAGAAAAAAGGAACAAAAATCAGAAAAAGAACCATCAAGTTTATTTTTCACCAGTAAGTAAACTGACAAAAGAAAAAGAAGATAATTTATCTCTTTCTTCATCAAGATGTATCAATACAAAGTTCTTCTAGCCAAACTGAAAATTATATTACAGTAGACTTCCTGAAAAATTGTTTAGTAACGCAACTTGAAGCAATAACCAACCAAATTAATAAAAATTCAGAAGAGATTAAAAATAAGCTAAAAGATATATCTAAAAGACTACAAGTAAATGAAGAAAAAATCACAACTTTAGAATGTAACAAAAAAATACTGAAAGGTCGATATGAACAATTGAATGACCAACTGAGAATTATGGAATGTAAAATAGGAGACTTAGAGGATCGTACAAGACGTAATATGTCAGATGTTCACATGCTGCATTCTATAAATTATGGAATCCTCGGGGAGAATTTACCTCTAACAGGTTTATCTTAACCCCTTAAGGACCAAACTTCTGGAATAAAAGGGAATCATGACATGCTTTTGTGTTTTTTTTGCTTTATTCCATCTTTCAAGTATTGATGCTTAGGTCTCATTACCACAGATAATTCTAGCCCATTGCTCCTGACTCCAATTAATATTGTTATTAGCCCATTTTAATCTCTTCTGTAGTGATGTCCTGAACGGTTCGCCACGGATGGCGAACATATGCGCTGTTCGGTCTGCCCCCTATGTCATCATTGAGTAAACTTTGACCCTGTACCTCACAGTCAGCAGACACATTTCAGCCAATCAGCAGCAGACCCTCCCTCCCAGACCCTCCCACCTCCTGGACAGCATCCATTTTACATTCATTGTGAAGCTGCATTCTTAGTGAGCTGTCCAGGAGGTGGGAGGGTCTGGGAGGGAGGGTCTGCTGCTGATTGGCTGGAACAGGGTCAGTTTACTCAATGATGATTAAGGGGCGGACAGAACAGCGCATATGTTCGCCGTCCGTGGCGAACCATTCGGCGAACCGTTCGGGACATCACTACTCTTCTGTCTTTGTCTTGAGATATGACTTTTCCTTGGAATTCTAGAAATGAAACCAATGTATTTTAGTCTATGTCTAACATTCAAAGTGCTTATCTTAAAACCTCAAATTGATTGATGATTTTCTTCTGTCAATTAAAGTTGGCCTGTCTCTCCCCCCATAAATAACAAAAATGAGCATTGCATAAATGCTCAAAAAGACAGTGTTGGAATCTCACTGACTATTTTGTCTTATGGTAAATTCTCAAGTTGACAAAACTTGACAAACAGAAATACCACCATCAAGTTTTGTCACTTACACCAGCTGTCACGAGTTGGAAAACTGGAATGCGCACCCTCCAAATAAGGTATTTTATCTCCCAGAGAACTCAACACACCTATACATGGGTGGTATCACTGTGTCTCAATACATGTATTCTAAAATTGCTATGTATGTCAAAAAAAATCACCAATTATTATATATTTTTTTTTAAATTTGGCATAGATTGGTGGTAAAATGGTTGCATGAAAAGAGTCAAAATAATAAGTTTAATACCTTAGGTTGTCTTCTTTTAAAAATATGTACATGTGAAGGGTTATTCAGGATTCCTGACAGATATATTTGTTTTTTAAATGGTTTGGAAAAAGCAAAGGGCTACTTGTACTTATTGCACTATAACTTTCCAAAAAAAGCTAATAACATGTTAACATTGGGTATTTCTAAACTCAGGACAAAATTTAGAAACTATTTAGCATGGGTGTTTTTGGCAGTTGTAGATGCGTGACAGATTTTGTGGGTCAAACTTAGAAAAAGGTTTTTTTTCGTTTTTTCATCATAATTTATAATGTTTTTATATTTAATTATATGATATGATATGATGAAAATAAGGGTATCTTTAGAAAGACCATTTAATGGCATAACAGTATATAATATGTGTGGGTATATATCATTTTAAACCAGATTTCTCTCTTTTCTGGATGTTATATCTCTTATTTAGTTTTCCTCAATAACTATATCTTTAACTCAATGTTCTGTTTTGATTTTCTTAAACTTTATTTTTACTGCAGGGTGTGTCCTTCTATATCTTTTTATCTCAAATGTGTTCCACAAATACTTGACTTTGGCATATTTATTCTGGAAAACTTGAGACCAAAATAATATAAAGCATTCAGTAAATGTATTACTCTAATGCCAACTTTCAGCTTCTCACTGTTCTTAGAATCCCAATAGACTTAAAGTGATTCAATTAAGGACAAATTTGCCCAACTAAACTAAGATGAGCTGTTTAGATAAGGTTGTGGTGAACCATTATTGGCATGTACTGCAAGCATTCACATGTGCATTCAACCAATATTTAGCACTTACTGGGTTTATTTAGTAAGTCATTGATCTTGGAGATCAAAGGTAAGTGTCCTTGCTACATTTTAATGGGGAAACAAAACATACAATGCAGGTTTGGATAGTAAACCAAATTACCATTTTCTGCACTCTAATAAAATTTGTGATTTGATGTTTAGGAAATAATTTAGGAAATAATTGCATCAAATATATGTATTTATTCATTAATAACATAAAATCACTATTCTTTGCTGCACTTGCAATTCCTTTCAATCTAACCTGGTATTCATTATCTATGTCTCTTTTTACTAAACCTTATTGCTTATATAAATTGAAAATTCTGGGCTCTAATTGTGTCAGATGCACCACAAATGCTGGGCTCTAACTGTGTAAGATGCACCACTATTTTATTTTCATAAATAACATAAAATCACTATTCTTTGCTGCACTTGCAATTCCTTTCAATCTAAGCTAGTATTCATTATCTATGTCTCTTTTTGTTAAACCTTATTGCTTATATAAATTGAAAATTCTGGGCTCTAATTGTGTCAGATGCACCACAAATGCTTTAAGTAACTATAAAATCAATACATATTTCATGATGGTACATGCATACTGCTTTCAGATTACGTTGCTGTCACAGATTGGAAAATTCATTTAAATGATTTTGTGGCATGTTTTTTGCTTAACAATGAAGCACTAAAAGCAAAAAGTATTCAGAGACAATTTTAGTCCAGGGCAAGGTCAGAAAGCTAGTATAGGTAGATTTGCAGTTAAATTATAAAACTGAATTAAATGACAGACTAAATATAAAACAAGAGAACAACACTGATTGGGCATAACAGAGAAAAATGAGAAAATAATGAAAGTAGATCATTTCTGTTCCTCTGTGTTGCTTATGCTAATGCATTTGCAGGTCTTTTTATGCTCTTGTGAATTTAATTTTATTTTTATGCTATGCTGCTGAGCAGGGATGTATCAATATCAATTAACTGTTGGTGTATTCTCTGAGCCTATTTTATATTCATCTTACTTCTTTACAATTGTGTACAGGAAACAAAATAAAATTAAAACATTTTTCTTTCCAGCTAGAGCATCTGCAAATGGACATAAAGAAGCCTCAGCCAACCTATTTCCAGGTAATGAAATCTAGTATGTTTTATGCTTGGATTATGATAAACCTCAATTAATTTTGCTTTTGCCTCTAAATAGCAGAAAGTATAGTGGACTGAAAGGTAAAATACAGAAATGTATAATAATGGGCATTTTAGACACATTTATGTAAATGTAACAATCACATTTTAACATTATGCTTTATCAGTAATTAAAACTGATTTATTTAATAATTGGCTTCATTCAAAAAAAATATAATTACTGCGCAAAGATACATTTTTATATATATATATTTATTGAGTTATGCAGCACGAAGAGGTCATATGGTTAGGAACGGTAAATATGTTATGTATTGGAGAGTCGTGCTAATTTATTTGGACCTATCATTGACCTTTAATAGCATCATTTTGTATAGCTATGTGATATCTGTGTGTTTATGATATTATATATGGTTAGTACTGATAGGATATGCTAATGCCCTCTCTCCCTGATTATATTTTATTGACCATTATTTTAACATTGGTTTTAACAATGTAAAGAAAACCCAATCAAACTTGTAATCAGCTATTCTGAAGAAAAAAAAAGGAACATACACTAATAGATGAGTGAATTAACATGCAGATCTAGTTGGTAAGCTAGTGTGTCAAAGACCTAATGATAACAGAAACAAAATACATTTCTAATAATAACACAAAACAACACAAATTCTTAATGTCTAAAATCACTTACATTAACATTTCAGACACCATAACCACTACAACATGCTGTAATAGTAAATAGTCAGACCATTTTAGAATAATTTGGCTTCTTACCTGGGGTCCATCTTCTGTTACTCTCCACTTTCACTACAGAATACAGAGAGCCAGACCCTATCTGTCTAAGCTTAGCACAGAGGTGCATAACTGCTACAGATCGCTGGTTGGAGTGTTCCTTTAAGAGCATGGTAATTGTTTTGTTCATGTGTTTCATGCTATACAATTCAAATGTGGATGATAGATTAATGCAGTACCTCAATCTATCAATGAACACCAGAGTATAAATATAAGCATGTTTAACTGTGTACATTTACATAACATAGTAAACTACATAAAAAAATAATCAGAGCTAAACTGAACTGCTAATCATGAGAAGGTGCCTGTTCCAGTATATTTCTCTCCTCAAAGAAAGGTTGCAGTCATGGTTCTAATTGCTGCTAATCATCGTTTATTTTGTTATTTCTGACATGACTGCATTTCTATAATTAGCAAATTACTCACAACTAGTCTGGCATGTATCACTGCTTACTTGTGAATAATGAAACTTATTTTTAAACAATATCGGTTAGGCAAATACTTTCATTGTGGCTTCAGTACTAGGAAAATGGTTAGAGAGAGACAGTTCTTAGTGTGGTGTTTGTTTTCACCAAATAATAATAGCAATATTTAAATTAAAACCATATATTTACTCCCTTGGAAAACAAGTATAAAGTGTGAGATAAGTTTAAATAGATTTTAACATGAAAGAAGTTTAACACCTTAAGGACTGAACCAAATGTACACGTTTTGATCAAAATAAAACGTAAACAAAACTTGGAATTTGACTATATGTCTGTTCAACCGTAATTTACCTCTTTCATATTAAAGGACCGCTCAATGAAGTGGTCTGGGTGCCAGGTCCAGCTAGGTTTAACCCTTTTTTTCTATAAACATAGCAGTTTCAGAGAAACTGCTATGTTTATAATAGGGTTAATCCAGCCTCTAGTGGCTGTCTCATTGACAGCCGCTAGAGGTGCTTCCGCGCTTCTCACTGTGATTTTCACAGTGAGAAGACGCCAAGGTCCATTGGAAAGCATTGTGAATGCTTTCATATGGACTGGCTGAATGCGCGCACAGCTCCTGCCGTGCATGCGCATTCAGCTGAGGAGGAGTAGAGGAGAAGGAGAGGAGGAGGAGAGTCCCCTGCCCGGCGCTGGAGAAAGAGGTAAGTTTAACCCCTTGCACGCCCTAGAGCCCGGCGGGAGGGGGACCCTGAGATGTATGTATTCTCTGCTTGGGGAAAACATTTTGTTATGTTTTGTATATATGTAAATAGTTGAGATTTTTTCACTTTAGGTATGTTCAATGATTTTATTGAATACTGTATATATAATTAATTAAACACTTTAGTAATTGGTCCAATATATTATACTCACGATGCACGTGATGTAATTGAACCTCGTTAGTATTCCTTTACCCTCCAATCAACAGTTCACTGTGTATATTTAAATGCAATAAGTCACAGTTAGATTGTCTTGAAAAAAGTCCCTAGTGGACTGAAACGTCAACAATATGTAATCAACTTTTGAAGCTTGAATAAATGGCACATTTTTGGCAACAGTATCGTGTCCTGTGAGTGCACTTCCAACAAGGTATTTTTTTTAAATATATATATATATATATATATATATATATTATCATTCTACGTGTATTTTGATATATATATATATATATATATATATA